GAGCTAGATTCCGCCTCCGAGGCAAGGGCCATCGGAGCTAGTCTGACCCCGTGACAAGTGGTATCAGAGCCAGCTCAAGCTGCATCAGAACCTGGTTCGGAGCTGCATCAAGCACGGTTGGAACCCTGCTGCAGACGCGGTCCAAGCCTGGGGCGAGACGTGGTTGCAGACGTGGTTCGAGCGTGGCACGAGACGTGGTTCGAGCGTGGTTCGAGCGTGGCACGAGACGTGGTTCGAGCGTGGTTCGAGCGTGGCACGAGACGCGGTCCGAACGTGGTGAGAGCGTGGTGCGAGCCTGGTGGAAGCCTAGTTGCGAGGGGAATTTGTGACCATGGCAAGCGAAGGCGTGGAGGCAAGCAACATTCTGGGGATGGAACGAGTGCGATGGGAGACGCGTGGGGACGCGAGATCGAAGAGGAGATCGAGGGCGGTGTCACCAGCGTCACTGGATGTCACAACAGCCTTTGAGGGAAGGCTGGCCGACATGGGGTTGGCAATAGGGGGCGTCCAGGAGCAGCTCGACACTCTTAACTCCGAGGAGGATGGGTGTGGCACGGTCGAGCCACTTGACGGTAAGCTTCAAGGTGTCTTCGATTCTTTCATGGCTAACATGAGTCAGGCTGTGGAAAGGTTTCAGGGGTGCCTTGCGAGCAGCAGTGGGCGAGACCAGCCACACAGAACCTCCAGTCCATGCGGGGGCATGGAAACCTCCAGAGATGGCAGCGGTGAGCGACCCAAGAGGAAGCATGACTGCTACTTGTGTGGAGGGCCACACTGGACGCGGGAATGTCCACGGAGGGACGCGCTCAGTGCCATCGCCAGGGCTGGTGAGGAGTCCAGCCACACGGGGGAGGTCAGCCACATGGAGAAGTCCGAGCCTGGGGAGGCAGAGGACGTGGCGTCGATCTCACACAACTTGCGGCAGAGGCCAGGGGGCAATGTCGCCAAGCCTGAGGAGTCCAGCCACAAGGGAGAACCCAAGCCTGAGGAGGCCAGGGACGTGGCACAGGACGCGGGCGAACCACGGCAGCAGCAAGACGTGGATGCAGCGGAGACTTGCAGCAACTTGCGAGAGGGATCGAGGCACTCGACGCTAGGTGCCTTGACGAGGGCGTCAAGGGCTTTGGTGGGGGAGAGTGTCACGGCACGCGAGTTCGGGGGCCGAAGTCACGGGCATCATGGCACGGAGCTGCAGCCACGGGCACACAGGGGGTGTGTCCAGCGTCCAGGAGGCATGCAACGCAGCGTCACGGAGTACGAGCGCAGAGACGAGCACGGGCGCAAGTCGAAGCGCAAGCGGAAGCGTGGACGCGGGCATGCGGGACGCGGGTGTCGGTGTGGGTGTCGATGTCGCGACACGGGGTTGCGGCTACGACACATAGACACACGAGGACGCAGGCGCAAGGTGGATCGCGCAAGACGCAACGGGCCTTGCCAGCAGAGGCGTCGATACCGGGGCCTAGGCGTGAAGTTGCGGACGGGACACACGGTAGCGTGCGTGAGCAGTCGAGGGCGACATGCGTGGGCGCGCGAGAATGTCCTGGGCCAAGACACGGGTGCACGCACAGGCAAGCCGGGTCGAGACGCTGGCACGCATGGGGGCGGACAGGCTCGAGGCGCTGGGGCGTG